AAATGAGGATTAAAATTAAAAGATTTCAAATCAAGTTACTTCACGATGTTCCGATTGTTAGTATCCACAATCGTCTTCGGGTGATGACTGAGTTTTTTGTGCAGAGGTAGAGACTACATTATTATCCTTAAAAGTTTTCTGCTGAATTCACCAATGCCAAGAGAGAGGGAGCCAAACGCATATTGGGCCAGCCGAGCACTGATAAGGTCTCAAACTAGTTACACCACCGTTGGAAAAGGTCAACTCTGAGATGCAGGATGCTGCAGAACGATTTAAAAAAATAAGAAGAGAGACCTTAAAAGAGGATCATGTACCAATCTTCGCCAAGATTGAAAGTACGTGCTTGAAGATCCGCCAAGACATGGAGAATACCCACAACAGAAAGTGGGGAAAGTTGGTGAGGAAACAATGCCCAAATGCAGACCAAAAATAGAACAACTATGAAGCCGTCAACGTCATCAACATGAGTTTCCGCCCGCTCTCGGACATAGAGGAAAGGTCTAAACTGTGCCATTGAGCCAACATCTGTGCTCACTTTGGAAATAAGTACTGCAGTAGAATCCGCCAGTTTTCTTATTGATCAGATTGGGTAGAAGAACTTAGATGGAAAATCAGAGAACAGCTAGATCGAGAAAAAGTTCCAACATCTAACATCAGCAAAGAAGAACGAAGAACTCTGAACGGCCTACGTAGAGATAACACCATCAAAATCCTACCTGCAGAACCAGTCATCACCCGAAGACAATTATGGATACTAACAATCGAAACGCCGTGAAGTAACTTGGCTTGAAATCTTTCAATTTCAATTTTCATTTCTTGTTAGTTGTTCAATTTTCAATTGTTGCTTGTATTTTATCTACTTGTATTTTCAGTTTTTTGCCTAAAATAATTGTTATTTTTTTAGCTAATCTTTTTCGAAAATATTTTAGTTGGCTAGAGAATGTTCGAATATGCCCTCCATTAAATTTTCAAAGTGATCCGTTGTCTGGTTCACCAGAAACGTCAAATGTGCCATCCACCGTGAATCAGCCTGTATCGTCCCAAGTCACTCACCATCTGGAATAATGGAAATATCAGCAAAATAAAATACTCTTCCATACTCAACCCAGTTCCAAAAACTTTTATAGTTGCTATATGAATAGATGTGAGTAATCTGGCACTCACTGTAAGTGCATAAAAAAGGAAAAAATATCCAAAAATTTCGTTGAAGTTGTCAACTGCACCTACTAGAACTCCATACAACTTTCTAACACATTTCACATCTTTCTCTATCTCCATTATACTCTTGACTTCCAATGAAAACTGTTCGAAATCATTTTGGATAGTTCCACAAAGAAAGTTGAATCTTGATGTTAGGTCTGTAGAGAAGTATGTTGCAAGTAACGAAAAATAAAATTCCGTATATCTGAGGATTGAGCCTAGTGACATCGCAATCACAAGTGCCAGTTGACTCCTGCAATGAATAGCTTCTAGTACTGAATTTGAAAAAAATATCATATTGAGTATCAATATTTTCACTTGGAAACCACTACACCAAAACTTTTCACCAATTCTTTTCTCCAGATCGGTATGGGAATGATTCAGGGCTCTGAATAAATTTCTCCAACTCGTTTGATGAATATGGGTGCTAGATAACAAAATTATCAGCTCACACAATGTTAGTGATAATCCATATAGTATCAAAGGAAGTTTGGTCACTGTAATCACAAAATCAATATTTCCATGTGAAAAGGCGACGAGGATGGCACAGAAAAATTGAAGTGACATAATGCAATATCTGTATATTCTGAACAACTTTCGTTCCACTAATTTTCCTTTTGTTACTGTGAAAATAGGAATCACACCTAGTATGTGTCCCATGAAGAAAAATATTGATTTTGAAATTTCTTTCAAAGAAGGTACTGTCATGATAATGTATCACTAACTTCTCTCCACTGACGTTGTTTTCTACTCATGAAAATATGGTTGTCTGATCATTATTAATGGTAGCTTGTGGAATTAATGATGATATCCGTATAATATAACTATTAATCAGTCAGGGAGAGCTGAAATACTTTGTTCGTTACTTGTAAATGTTGATTATTGAATCGATCATTTTCTTCGGTGGAAAAGCTCAGTTATTAATTGCACCATACCACTGTTTTCAAATTCAGGATTTCAATAAGTTATCCTCTTTTAATATTTCCATTACTATTGGTATAACTTCTTTTTGTTTCTTACATCCGCATTGAATCCGTAGACAGACATTGTGTTCAGTTCTGTAATGAATTTGTCGTCTCACTCCTCAATTCTGATTTCACAATTTTCAAGCCTGAGTATCACTTCAGTTTCTCCATGAACCGTTAGTTTCTCCACAGTGGCTGTTTTCAGAACGGGTCATACTTGAAACATTCTCAAACTACTTGGAAATGTCGGCTCTCATTACTGACCTTGTTACTCCAGTACCGATGGTGGGAAGGCACTGGTGATCATTTGAAAATCCATCGACAACTGAGTTGTTACTGTCGCGTCTCATTGTGGAAATCGGATACTAAGAACCCCGACACTCTCATTCGGGTAATACCAAAAGTCACTCTCTTCTCTCCTTGAGTCCTGAACGTGATCGACAGTCTCACTTGAAATGTCTCTCTCTCTCTCTGTCTCTCTCTGCCGCAATCATAGCATTCAGGCCGCCTCTTCCCCTGGTTGCAGTTCTATTCGTCAACTATTTTTTGAGGAGTTTCTCCAGACTTGCCATGAATTTTTCTGTTGCATCGTCTTTCTTAACGTTTATGGCTCCTACTCACACTTTTTTGTTGTCGCGAAACATTTTGGGAGGTTCCCATTCTAGGGCATAAATGATGATGTCATTTTGTTCTTCATGACATCCTCACCAAATGCAGCTCCGTGTCACGAATCCTGTTGATGAAAGTATGAACACTAATCCAGGAGGTGAGATTATTAGGTACTTCTGGTTTAGCCAGTCTTATCAACATTTTTGACTTCAGCACCAAACTTTTGCAAACTGTAGGCTAGATCTTCAGTTCTCATCTTCAGTTGAGCTCAATTGACTCGTTGAAGATGCTCACTGTCATACATGACCACAAAATCTGCTATTCAATCACTGAAATATTCTACAGATATCCGGATGCCTTTTCTCGTGATGCCAGTATAAAGGCTGGTGCCAGTTAAACGCTGTTGCTTTCACCTCCCATTATATTCCTTTCCCTAATTAATTTGAGAAAACTTATAGGTATATCCCAGAGAAAATTCGAAGGCTATATTCAGGGCTTGCTCTCAAAAATGCTACAAAACCTTATTCAAGTAACTTGAAGTTTCAATCTTACCCTGCCCGTGAATATTTCAACTTGTAGCGTACATAAGAAAATAACTCTAAATCATGGTGATTGAACCCATAGTACAATATGCATCATGTTATATGCTTCTACCAGACTAATCAGGGTGCAAAGACTTGCTCAATTGGGAAAAAATGGCAACAATGTAAACCACAGCAACAGCTGCATTGGAGATACTCTTGAATATAAACCTCAGCATATGTGGTGGAACGAACATCGAGCATATTCTCAGGCAACATAACGCCAAAACATGTATACGATATCAACTTGGCGTGTGAAGTGATGATCTACAGAAAATGGTCAATAAACATTGATCCAGAGAAAATGCTCGCCATGAATACAGTTTTCCAGGGCGAAGTGTATGCAGTCTTTCAATTCGCAAAGAACATCAATTTCACGTCTGCACGAAATGAGCAAATCGTTGTTTTCACAGAACACCAGACTACACTATGGATCCATTGGTTTTATACGATGATTGTCAGACCAATGATCACTCATGGTGCAGTTGCTTGGTGGCCGAAGGCTTCACGGAAAACGGCCCAAGCGAAGCTCTCTGGCTCACAGAGACAGGCTTGTATGGCTATCAGTGGTGCCATCAGTAACACACCGTCAGCGGCCATGGAGATCCTTCTAGATCTACCTCCTTCACATTTTTTCTGGAGAGAGAGGACAGATGGAGTGCATACAGACTTGTGCATCGCTTTAGGCTTTGCCAGCAAACATTGAGCACCTGGATGGCAAGAAGATTTATGGACTTCTGACAGAATCTTTCAGGATTGGTTCACTCCAAGGCGTTTATTCACCCTTCGAAGCTTGATACCAAACAGTTGTTGGACTACCGAAGGGATGAACTACGATGTCTAACAGGCCTTCTTACAGGTCACTGTCATTTGAATCATCATATGCAGGGACTCGGACTGTCAGAAGAGAGTGTGTGTCGCCTCTGTTTGGAAAAATTATGCAATTAGCAGAGCACATACTTTGTGCCTGCCCCGCTGGGGACCCAATCAGGTTTTTAGAGTTCGGCAGAGCCGTACTCATACCATCTGACATGAAAGACCACTCAACATACAAACTAATCGGCTTCGTTAAGAAGCTAGGTCGAGTGTGAAAAGATGTGAGCCACAATAAACCCTTGCGGGTTGCGGTGGAGGATGGAATAGACCTAACCTAACCTAATACTCTGGATGCTGATGAATCCAAAATGACATGGAAACTGGCCTGGGAATGGCATGAAAACCTAAGAGAACTGTCTAGACACTAATCATCAACTCCATATGTAGGCCCTGAATCTGCTGTAGAAGTATCGAAATTTTGGTATGGAACCAAATTGGAAAGTGAGTATTAGGGAAATATGTTCGGAAATACACACAGTCAGTGTAAATTGTACAGGTGGAGGGAGTCGGTGGTGTTTCTGCCGGAAAGACAACTGGTAAGAGAAGAGTAATTTATGCAGCAAATGAATTTGCTGTTATTGCCATTGAACAACTCACTTGTATTGGTGATGGACCTATCTGTAAATTACTTTCAAATATCGTCATATTCGTTATATTCGTTCGTACATTAGGCTATTATCCTCAAAATCAAATTGAAGGTGATTGTCTCACATCAAATGATTTCTTTGGTTGATTGTATTCGTTTGAATATCCGGATGAAACAAAAATAGTCAAGGCAAAATTTTATTCATTACTAAAACATCTATAATGATTTTTCAATTCAACTTTTTAATGGTTTGATCGTCATCGTATTTATAGACACAAACAACATATCCTTTCTTATTCTTTCTCTTCGTTTTCGTTTTTTCTTCCGATTGATTGTCTGACAATTCTTTGAGGGCTGAAAACAAAGAAATGATAAAACATATTGCATTACAATAATAGTTAGATGTTCAAAACTATTCGACTATAATTCATGCATGCCAAATTTCGAAATTATTTTTTCACACGTCTGTGAAAAACGTTTACAAATGCTATTTTTCACCCATTGCATCTAAAATGTCTCCTATTAGATCAAATATCGAATCGGAATTCAACATTGCTGAAATAATTTGTGGAGAACGAGTAAGACCACATTGATTGCCTTCATTTATTTTCTTGCATGTTGAATACGAATTTGGACTTGATATGTTGTAAAAAAAACATACTAATATACTTACCCTTTTTGAAAAATGTTTTTCCGATTGCAACATATGGCGATTCGAATGCTAAACACCAAATTGTAGCCACAATGAATATGAAGCCCAAATCACCTATGTAATCGTGAAACTGAAATGAAGTTAATAATTTTAAAGATATTTTTCATGAAACAGTCAGTCTTTTAAAGGTTTCTGGGTTTGAAACTTCCATAGTATGAAACGTGAATAAATCCAGAGAAGTAGCGCAAGTATACAAGTGTAGCAAAAATGTTTTTGCACATTCGAATCATCTTTATCCGTCAATTGAGTTTGCATAGTCCTATTCCTTTAATGTTTCATGAATAAATTAAAGTTCAACATCGAAAAGTTTTTAAATAAAAGCAGAATTCGTGAAACAGGAATTACAAATTTCCCAGAAAAAAGTACATAAAATACTTTTACTTGAATGCATATCAGTTGAAAAGAAACATTAGTTCACGAGTATTATTATTCTGATCTTTACTGAGGACTGAAGAAACACAATGTTCCACAATAATTGAAGATAAGATTATTCTACGTCAAGAAATAGTTGAGTGATCAATTGAGGTCATAGTTGCTAAAACTGGTTAACAAAAGGGATCTATTTATGTTTAAAAAACTAAATAATCTTCGAAATCAGTGAAAAACGAAGACACTTACTTCCTTGTAAAACAGCTTCAAACCCTACATTTTGAATGAAGGTGTAGACTGAAATATCATAACATAGAGATCGAGACAGATAGATAGATAATAATCATTCAATAGAGTTGATCAAAACTTCACTTTTGTTTTACATATCAACCACTAGTCAAATTTTGGGCNGGAGACTGGGTTCAAAAGTAACGGGGGGGTCGAAAGTAACAATTGCTGTCTAGATTCATCCAATGGACGAACACCGCTTCGCCAAAGTCAGGCGATAGCCGCGCCACTCTACGCGCTGATGGGCTGTGTGATAGGACGCTACGTGTTTTAACAAAAGTAATTTTTTTATGTATTGTTATTAAATGTTTACTTAGTCTTAAATGGATGATAGTAATCTGAATGTTTGAACATCCATTCTTGATTAGAGTGACTGTATATTGCTTAAATTCATTTTTGTGTAGCACGTTCCGTTTTGAGGTTATGTTGCACGTTTTGACAAAAATGTGGGCGGTCACAAAAGTAACATAGCCTTATGGGTACAAAAGTTACTTGTGACTTTTGTACAAGTTACAAAATTAACTTGTTACTTTTTTCCCCGTAATGATTTGATTACCATCATATTTTTATGTGTGTCTTCACTTCAACAGAATGCCACAACAATGCATAAGAACTACTGAACGAGGAAATACCGACACGGAAGTGTATCGAAAAACGGCTGAAGACCATTTCAAAGATGATGCAAAAATTAGAGGCCTGGCAAAAAAATTTAATGTTTGCCATGTAACATTATATAGATTTATAAGAAAGCGCAATTATGGGCTATCGTTGCGTCAACCAAGTTTTTGCTAATAATGAAAAAAGTAATCTACGCGACTATTTAATTGAGTTCTCTGCAGTTCATTTTGGGTTATCTCCATCTGAAGTACGTAAACTGGCATACGAGTTAGCAATCAAAAATGGAATAACATTTCGTGATAATGGCACAATAGTCGAATGGCAAGTAAGAATTTTTTGCTGCTGAGGTAATAGATAGGAATCAATTCGAGCCATATCTGGAATATGGCCGAGACAAGAGTGAGCACTGTCCAAAAACACAGCAAAATTGTAGCTCAAAAAGGAAATGAATAAGCAGGTGCAGTAACCTCAGCAGAGCGTGAAAGATTAGTAACTGTTGCTGTTGGGATTGATGCTCAAGAAGGACACATCCTCCTTTTTTTTGTATTACCACTGAAACGATTCCAAGACCACATGATACATGAGGGTTCTGTTGGTTGTGCTGAAGCTGGCAATGCTAATGGGTGGATGCAGGATGCAGCATTTTTACTGTTTCTACAACATTTTTAAAGACAAGTCAAGCCCACAGTTGATCAAAAATGCTTATTACTGCTCGCATACTATGCATCGCATATATTAATTCAAGCTCTAGATTTTTGTAAAGAAAACGGAATAGTACTGCTATCGTTTCCACCTCATTCAACCCACAAACTCCAGCCTTTGGATAGAGCAGTATGTGGGCCATTTAAGAAAATGAAAAACACCGCTACAGACAACTGTATGCGAAATCATCCTGGTCGAACGATGACTATTCATTACATTCCTGGGATTGTTAGAGATACATTTCCTCTTTTTGTCACTGATAGAAATGCAATTGCTTGATTTACCTGTATCAGCATAAGTTCATTCAATAGGAATATATGTATTGCTTTTAACTAGACGCCACCATCTGTGACTGACCGGCCGTTACAAGTTATCTATTAGACAAAGTCCCACCAAATGATGTGTTGACTAGTTCTGACGCCACGTCATCCATTCAAATTGATCCAATTACTCCAGTTGGTGATCTTCCAACATCAATTCACCAGACTGTTCACCGTACAAATAGCAATAATGATTTGTCAAACAATAATGACCAACCACCATCTGTTCAAAATATACCGGACTCGATCTCTGCTGACACTGATTCTCTGTTAGCTAACTCTATTTCTGATCGAAGATCCAAAACACCAGTGGCAGGACCTAGCGAGCATGCAAATTCTACCTAGCCGTTTAATTTATTACCTAAAGATCTTAGACCTTTACCACAAGCGGGTACGAGACCTGAAACAAATAAAGGTGAGACTGCAATTCTGACGGACACTCCCGAAAAAACTTACTTGAACAAGAACACCAACAACGACATGAAGCCAAGAAAATGGTACTGCAAACTGATACTGAAGAAGGTAAGAGAAAATTGATATCTGCAAAAGAAAAGGGAAAAAGAAAAAGACAAAGAAGGCACCAAAATAAAAGGACAATAAATCTGACGACGAAGATTGTTTCAGTCTTGTCTGTTTAAAAACGTTTGGCATTAGTCGGCCAAATGAATAATAAATCGAATGTAAAATATGGTCCCATGCGTGGGGGATGATAAGAATTGTATGGCAAAAAGCGATTCTGAGTAAGAGAATAATGACTGAATTATAAAAGTCTGATTATAAAAAAATGATGGAAAAAATAGAGATGAAACTTTCTATGTTTTTTACCACTTTTATATGTAACTAACGTTACTGCAGTTTCCTACTATACGAACATTTTCAAACTTATACAATAAACTAACAATGATTCATTACATTCGCCATTATTGTATATCACCCCTGTAGGTACTGATAGAAATATAGTTATTTGACTTGATTGAGTACCTGAATTAACAGTTCACAATGCGGATGTGCCAATTTAAAAACCGGCGCGTGAACTAAATCGATTTGATCATTTAACAGGTTGCACCCGCAATGTTAATACTTGTGAATTTCCAAGGATTCTAAATAATTGAGTGGGCAACCCTGCACCATAGTGCAGAATTTCCGTATCGTTTACATTCGGAAACTTGTGGCTGCATGCCACATTGCCCCACATAAACACTATTACACTCCGGACACTTAAGCTTATAAACTCCATATTTTTCCAACTTGCCGACCTTATCTTTGGCATTGAAAAGGAAATGAGATAACCTAGCACATCAGTTTATTACAAAAACATTATTAACATTATACTAAATTGATCTCATTACTTAAACTAAGATTAATTTTTATTGACTTGTTTTATGAAAATATTTGAAAAAATATAATTTTTTAATAAATAATTTGAATAAATAATTTTTTGATTTACCATGTGTAATATTGTATTCATTACCAAACCCTTTGCCTTTTTACTTTCGACCCACAACGTGTTATTTTCGACCTGCCTATATGGTCGAAAGTAACAACTAACGATTTTTTAAAATTTATGTTATTCATATAGAACACACCATAATATGATAAATCGAGTAACAAGTGTGAAGAACATAAATTGAATTTATTCATGGTTATATTAATCTAATGTCAACAGTAACACCCAGCCAAAAATCAAGGTAAAATGCAAAGTTGCAAAGTGTTACTTTTGTAAACGGTCTCCTCTACTAGGGTGATACTAACCAGTTTTGGGTAGTTAAAATGGTCTGAATGTCGCTTCGAGCCGGTGAAGAACAGTATGACAATCATTTGGACAAGGTATACACTATACGATAGCTTTACCAATACTTGGAACACAGGTAACGAGAGCCACTCGTTCAGTTTACCTAAAAAATAAAAAAAATACTATTGAACGGAAACGACAGGAAACGAAACAACAAAATATATCTCAATGGGATTCATTGAGAACAGAGCTATGTTTTCTGATGAAAACAATTAAAATAGTAATTGATTTATAGATTTCGAGCTCCCACGGATGGTGATAACTATGTCAAAACTATTGTACGGGTTCGTTGGTATAGGATCTGTAGGTTTTCATTACGAACGTTTCGTCTATAACATCAGTAACGCATACAACGTGAGCATCGTGTCCGTTGCCTTATCGTTTTTGATGTCTACCACAGTTGTGGACTCAACCTGCGGATTACGACCAATAACCCCGAAAAATTGCTTTGACAATTATAAATACAATTTGGGTAATCAGTTTTACATCATATTTCTCTTTAACACATCGTTATCGAAATTCCTTTGCATTCAATAGGAGAATCGAATGATATGCACACAGTCATCAGATTCATTTTGATTTCTGTTGAACCTCCTTCTACACTATTCGCAAAGTAACCTAGACGGAGTTGATTGCAGTCCATCAGAATTGCGAGTAGTGTAGAGGAAGAATGCTTTGGTACACGAAACACTTCTCTGATGGAGGTTTTGATCACGAGATGGAAAATCGATACTTCACTTTATCCAAAGTAGATTCTATCTCAGACAAACATACTACAGTCTTAGCTGGATATGTCTTGCATTGACAAGAAATCAGACTATGAAATCCATTGCTCGATTGATTACTGTTAGGTCCGGCTTCTGAATGAACGGAAAGTATTTTCGGGAATCTTCTCTGTGAGGAAACTTGCACAAATATCAATGTTTTTGGTAACATTAGCCAGAGAACAATTAGCTTTGGCAGGAATTTGTCAGATCCCACGATCTGGAAATCATTCTTATCTCTAACTTTTACACACCCCTCGTAATCACCAGTGAGAACTAACTACTCAGATAGATACTCAATCATGATTACTTAGAGCATCTACTCAACTTTCATCTACCTGTGGAATATCCTGAATTATGATAACCTAGAGCATATTGTACCAATTCGACAAAACAATTTCAGGAATGGTGAACTTTTTAAATCCAGTTGGTCATTCTAGAAAGTGTTTGAATTCAAAATTTTAATAATTTCCATTACTTCCAAATGATTTAGCTTCAAACCTTTATTTTCTGTTTGTGAAATTTCGAACTCTCTATTAACGATATGCTTTTTTCCTATTTGAATATGTTGAACGTGTTTTTTTATTTACAAGGCTCATATGATATTCCAGGATGCGATTCCTAAATGTTCTGCCGGTTTGACCAATATATACCTTAGGACATGTTCCACAATTTAATTTATGAAAATTGAGAGGGTATATTTTAAGGAGTGAATAATGTTGGAAGATTCCCACATTTTTTGTATCAAGATGGAGAAGTAGAAGGTCAAAAACTCCCCTTTCCAGAAAATCATTTATGTACTCCTGATTTCTAGAATTTGGATGTTTTGTCTTTATTATTTTCAACTAACTTTCCCAACGTATTACCTGTTTTATATGCGTTTTCAATATTTTGTTTATTCACCTTTTCTGTTGTTTGTCCAAATCGGTGAAAGCTCAATATTGTCGATCAGATAACTTTAACTTGTTTTGGACAAACAACAGAAAAAGTGGCTTCATATGCAATTTTGAAATCTTGTTTATTCAAAAATTAAGCCACTTTTTCCGTCGTTTGTCCAAAATATGGTAAAGCTCTATAATTTTGATTAGACAGCTTTAACATATTTTGGATAAACAACAAAAAAAGTGGCTTAATTTTTTAATTACCTACGGCTGATTCGAGAAATCAGCCGTATATAAATCAAATTGTGGAACTTGTCCTGAGATATATATTGGTCAAACTGGCACAACATTTAGGAACCGTATCCAGGAACATCATATGAGCTATGATAATAAGTTTCCTTATCAAAACAAGTCCAATATATTCAAATCAACTTCTAGTAGAAAATCATATCTTTAACGGAGTGTTCGAAATTTTACACATAGGTTTCAAGCTAAATCATTTGGAAGCAGTGGAAATCAATTAACTCAAAAAAAAAGTGAATGACGGAAAAGCTACAGTGATAGCGAAACATGAAAATAAAGTTTGTGTAGTTTGTGAAATTACTATGGATCTTCTTCAAATAACGGCCGAGTCAATAAAAAAAAAAGTTATACTTCCAGTGCCAGCCGATGTAGCATTTCTGTCAATTGTGTTCATTAGCAAACTCAAAGTGTCTCAAAAGATACTTCAGATGAATTTTAATCTGAATTAAAAGGAATAAGAAATATGGTTTTATTAATTTATGTATTCCAATCAACCTTCTGGAACTGCTAACAGATTGACGACCCCAAATAGAAAGAACCTGGATGGAATGATACAAGTATCTGCCCAAAAACATTTAGATAGTCTTCATGGTCATTTCGTAGATATTCGCAGTTATATGAGGAATAATCTCACCTCCATGTCCGGTGCTACAGAGAAATACAACACTTCCGGTCACAAGAGCCCATGCGGGTCTGGCGCACGAGTTGAATAGACCAGCTCTAACAGAATCATAATTGTTCCCTGTGAAAACTTGATGAACCGCTATGAGAGCGCAGTAAGCGGCAAACGTGGAAATCCATAAAAATAAATTGGTTACCTGAAAAACAAGGATCAATTCTATATATTCTGAATCTGTTTTATCACTTTCTGAACTCTTCGACTGCTCAATTGAATAACTGTTATTTTCAATCACATTTTAAACTTCTGGGGTTGAAATGTTCTGGTAGAATCTATAAAGCGACACTTGTACTTTTTTGGTCTGTGATCATAGGGGAACACTATGTTTTTCAGGCATATACCTGACCTCTCTATGAATTAGATGTTCAGAAATCTATCACCAAATTGAGACCCGTTCAACAAAATGTAGCAAGGACTACGTTATAACTTTATGAGTCACTTCATGAGGTCTCCACCTACAATATCGAAGATTTTGCCTCATTAAATCATCTGACCTATTTCTTCCATGGTCGTGTGGTCGGTATAAATTCGGGGATTAACGGATTCATTATATTCTTCCAAGACGATGCTTTCATAAGTCTATCCTGGTAACTTAAAAATCACAATGATACTATACACTACTGTAAATTTGTAGTTAGTATTTCGAAATTTGTAATCACATCGGCAAAGCTGGTTTTTATGCCTGACATTTCATCCCCTACGACACTATATTATCAGAAGCGGTGAAGCAAAGGTCATAGTGTTGATTCTATCCCCAGCAGATACTACATCGTTCGGAATTTAGAACTTTTGATCAAAGTTACGGAGAATACCTAATTCTCTGTGAGAAATGAGTAGTTTCGTTTCTATGGAAACTGATTATTCTGCATCACTATGTACTCGTTGATAAAAGTTAATAATTTTGTTGTAGTCCATCTTTTGCATCAAAGTCACATGACAATCGTCGATGAGTATTCCATTTTGTTACAATAGTTGTTCTGATACAAAAGTAAAATTACCTTTTTTTACTATCATAGTAGGACGAAATTTAACATAGAGATTCAGGTTTTGGATATGATAAATATTGTAAGATTTGTATTATACAATCAAGACGGTAGCAGACGAAACAGACAGTATGCAAATGATTATGATTTTTCCACTTCTATTGAATTAATACTGTTTTATATTGAAAGAAAATTACGAAATGAGGCACATCAGTCGTGGTTGATGTTTCTCGAATGATTTTATTAATGTGAATTTACATTTTTTTTTTGACATAAATTCTTTTTTTGAACAATTTTCAAGTGACTGGTGTTCAGTGGGTAGCTTTGTGATTATTCAGAGCAAAGCCCTTCTATGTTTGAAGGTGTTTGGAAATACTTCACATTTCGATTATCAGTATCTACAATCGTCTTCAGATGATGACTTCGGGTGATGACTTCGGGTTATTCCTCCGAAAGATGACTATTTATAAGCCATTCGAGTGCTTTCACTTATCCCTGCTTCCCTCGCTCCGCTTCACCGGTTTAGCGAGAGCTGACCGTTTGGCGGGAGTTGGTCGTTTTCCATTGATTATGGGTTTCCATATGTTGCGTATCTCTACGCTAGCTTGACTAACTGCGTTGTTCGACAACATATATGCGGCTTTTTCAAATTATCTCTTCAACCAGTGTTCCTCCTTGTTGATGAGTCCAAATATGCTCTGCTATTGTCGATTTGCTGGTTTCTTCTCGCTGTGTGTGTTTCTTGTGCTCGGAGATGTCGACTTTTAATGACTTTTTAGTTTCACCAATGTAGGATTCTCTGCACTCGCAGGGTATCCTGTATCCGGAATCGCAGTCCGCGTTTGGTGGCTTGGTTTTCGTGAGGCCGCTACGGACAGTGTTTCCGGATCTGAAGCAGGTTCTGATGTTATACAAGGTGTAACTAAATAAGTGTAAAACACTTAACATCGAAAAAAAAGATAGGATATTTCATATTTCCGCGTTTGGTGGCTTGGTTTTCGTGAGGCTGCTACGGACAGTGTTTCCGGATCTGAAGCAGGTTTTGATGTTATACAGGGTGTAACTAAATAAGTGTAAAACACTTAACATCGAAAAAAAAGATAGGATATTTCATATCAAGAAATTCCATTGGAGCATCCCTTGTTAAGATACAGCCCCTTGAAGGGGGTACATAAAATTTGTATAACAATTTTTTTCACGAGCACTAAAAAAGTTACAATAATGAAATTAACCTGATGTTTTGTACTACCAAAAAGACACTTAGTCATAAATTTATTTGGTTTACCCCATGGTTGTAAGGGGTTTCCACCCCTTTAAGGGGCTGTATCTTAACAAGGGATGCTCCAATGAAGTTTCTTTATATGAAAGATCCTATCTTTTTTCAATGAGGAATCGCCTCCTCAATGGTTTTACACTTATTTAGTTACACCCTGTATTTGGACCAAATTCTTCTTATCCTTTCCTCTGATGTAGATAATCACAAATACTGGTTGTGACAGCTTCTCTTCCTTGTGAGGATCTTGCTGTCGACAGCCGAAATCTGTTCCACCATCACGTTGAAATAATCATTCCGTTGAAGATCATTGTTGATGATGTCTATATCCTTCACGAGGCCTTCCTCCTAATTAAAATGCCCGAAAGCACGGCCCACTAGAGTCTTGATGATTCGTCTTTTAATCGATCGATAGTGATTGGATTTGTGGTTCAGATACTGTCCCGTGTGAGTAGATTTTCGGTATTCAGATGTTTTCCACTGAGTATCGGTACTCTTCACCAATATGTCTAAGAATGGCAATTCCTTGTGGGATCACCACTTTCACCAGTTATAGCCAACATATATATGGAGTGGTTTGAAATTCTGGCCATTGAAGAAGCTCACAAGAAGTCTCGAATCTTGTTTAGATACGTTAACGAAACTTTCATAATATGGAACCATAGGAATACAGAACTAGACACCTTCCTGAAGCACATCAACAGCGTAAGACCTTCCATCACTTCCACAGTGGAGAAGGAAGTCCTCCACAAGGAGGAACACTGATTTTGAAGAAAAGTCAAAGGAGCTGTATATATGTTGTCAAACGACGCATTTAGCCAAACTAGCGTGGAGATACGCAACATATGGAAACCCATAATCAATCGGAAAACGGCCAACTCCCGCCAAACACCTATAAATAGTCATCACTCGGAGGAATCCAGTCATCACCCGAAGAAGATTGTGGATACTTACAATCAAAACATCGTGAAGTAACTTGACTTGAAATCTTTCAATTGGTAATTTTCAATTTTTATTTCTTGTTAATTGTTCAGTTTTCATTTATTGCTTTCATTTTATTTTATTGTAATTTCAGTTCAGGTTTGTTTTGCTTAATTTAATCGTTACCAAATTAGACAACTGAAGTCCGAACTAATGAAAAATCCCTACTATGTTGAAACAGTTTGTCAGTTCTTTTTTCAGACTGCCCCTTTATGAATGTTTTCCGGCGTGTACTCCCTGTTTTCTCTGCCCACACAGACAATGTGTGGGCAGACGATAGAGACAGAAAATAATGAATGAAAGCTAAAAATAAATGTCAACATGTGAAACACCTTATATATGTGTCTCATCAAAGTTGAGTTTTCTCTATTAAACACTACCTACATATATTTTCACTATATAATATATATTCGTTCGTGTGTCATGGTGGGATTTATAGCACGAAATGGGTTCATTTAGCACTATATACTTGTATGTACTGCTGGACCAAATGAAAAAAAAATTTTTGACCGGTTATTTTGAAAAATAGTATATTTTCATTTTCCATTTATAATTCAATCGAATACCAATGAAAACAAAACTCGGGATTACTTTTTTCTTGGGTTTAGCAAATTGAACACCCTGTGAATAAACCATACGAGAGTAGTACACCCTGTGAACTTCCAGAAAATATCTAATCATAATCTCTACAGAATGAAAGATTTTCAGTACAACTCACCATTGGTATTTTTATTTTCTGATATTTATATAAAAGAAATCCAAAAATCAATCCGATCAAATAGGGTGGCATACGAACGAAGGTGGATCCATAAATTCTCTCTAGATATGCTTGGTTCCCTCTGAAATGAATGATTGACATTCGTGTTAATAATAGCCTTTTAACCCGAGCATGCTATCCAAATAGCGAAATAAATTAATAGCAGGATTCTACTTATTTGTTTCGAGAGATAATATCACTATAAATAGTTTGTCAAAATAGTTTTTATTCTGGATACTGAAAACAATGTTTGAACATTAAAAACATGTTCAGATATAACGGTAAAACTAGATTTTTGAATGTTGTTTTGGCCCATTTATAAATAGCCTCAGACAAATTCCAGAATTTGCAGAACTTTTCGAAACGGTAATTTTATGGGATTTCGAATCTGAATACAATAAAAACTTGTCCAGATATAAGCAATAAAAATCGTAAAATTTAGATCTTGAAGATCTCTGAAACGATACATCAATTTTTTTATTGTTTCAGTCACAAAGTGGCACTAAAAAAAATGTATTATTTTTGCATCGGGTTTCATGCACATAAGGAATTCACAAGATATCAATTTTGCACCAACACATTTCTGCAGCCATCAGAAAAAACCCACAAAAATATGTCCTAGCTCAATCAGGAGCTGAAATATTTTTTTTCGAAATGAATGAAGAAATATCCAAGGAACTGAAACACAAACAGATTTCAAAAGCATCACTGGTTTATTGACCGGAATATCTTAACAATAAATTTTCAGAAAAATATATTCCATCCATCTATTTGAAATTTTCTGTTGAATTCAATGAAATCGAAATGTAAAAGTAAAACTACTTGACTGTATCGAATATTATGGCTATATAAAAATCATGTGAATATTATTGCTGGCATTCAAATAACTGAAACTGTACACCAGTGTGAATCATTAAAACATGCTCTATTTTACTCTAATTCAGTCATAAGTCACTTATAAAAAATCAGGATTCGGAGGGGAAGCGAAATCCGAGTTGAAAAAATGGAAGTTCTTGAAATATACTTTCTTAAAATAATATATAACAAAGACTACAAATATTCAGTTACTCTTTCACAGAGAGTAGAAAAAATTGATGTCAATATATTCTCTTTTATAATATTCACTCACACAAATTCAAGAACAGAAATAAAATTTGATTCGCAAATATACAATACGAGGATTGAAGTGAAATCATAAAAATATATACGTACTGAATCAATAGGCCCAATGAATCATAAATATTCACTTCCTCGTATATACGACGAGTATAATAGAATTCCAAACAAAATGATAGGAATAAAATCTCGAGTGGTAAACATTCAAAGTTTTGAATCTCAGTGTTGAGAAACAACCTGTTTGAAAATATAATGCTATCCTCACTACGAATTGGCAATTTCTTAGCCTTGTATTGGTTTATTTATCGTTCAAATGAATTGTAAGCAATTATAGGTTTTCAAAAGAATTATTATTATTGAATGAAGATGACAGTTCATGAAGACAATCAGAATCCATACAACAAACATCATCTGAGGTAGTTAATAATACTGAATATGTTTTCTTATAATATTACCCACAAATTAAGTGTAAATAACCGTTATCAGATAATGAAAAGTTACCAAACATATGGAGTTTATATTAAAGAGCAACATCTGATGAATTGGAGAAATATTTTGATTTTCCATAAAAACACATATTTATCCATCATCTTTTGTATAGGTTGGGTAAGGTCAAAAGTGAGTGGGTCTATTCGTCCCTCCATCACAACACGCAAGGGTTCATTGTGGCTCACACCTTTTCTCACTCGACCAAATGAACCCAGCTTCTTAACGAAACCGGTTAATTCATATGTTGAGCGGGGCAGGCACAAAGTATATGCTCTGTTGTTTCATCAGTACCTACAGTACAGTACGAGTCTGTGCATATGATCAGACGACAGTGACCTGTGAATAGGCCTGTTAAACATCGTAGTTCATACCTACTATAGTCCAACCACTGTTCAAGGTTTCAAGCTTCGAAAAGTGAATGAACACCTTGGAGTGAGCCAATCCTGAAAGATTTCGCCAGAAGTCCATAAATCTTCTTGCCATCCAGGTGTTCCATCTTTTTTTGGCAAAGCCCAAAGCGATTCTCATTGCCTTTCAGGCTAGTGTGGCCAGGAATTCAGACCCTAGATAATTTGTTACGTCTTTCCATCGATGAGAGTAGTTTTTGGAAATCTCTTCACACACGATTCAATAGCATAGATTTCCGCTTGGAATACAGTCGCATAGGTCCCTAGGCAGGTTGATATCTCTGTCCTGGGTCTACGACTGAAAACACCTGCACCAGAACATGAAGGTGATTTTGATACATCTGGGAACCAACACCTATCTGCTCCTAATATTTCCTTCTCCCGGAGGATCCAGTCCTCTCCATTCAGAAACAGTACAGTATAAGGCATTTCGTAGTTGACAGTTGAAGGCATAGTGTCAGAATGCTGTGACTACCAGTGTCAACCAACAGTCTATTGTCATAGTAAAAATCAACCAGAAAGTTCACTCCCACTACTTTCATTCATAAATTCACGAAGTTCTTGGTGACCTCGAAACGAAATGCGAAGCCAATTTCGTTCTTTTACCATAGGCGTGCGCTCATATAAAAACGAAATTTAAGGATATTATAGAAGATTTTGTAGTGAGTTACTTATAACCAACTACGACAACTGAAAACAATAATTAAAACAGCGAATAAACTCTTTAGAGTTCATACAACATACAAAAAACATGGTTCTGCAAGAAGGTGAGATTTTGGTTTCTTTTGATGTTAGTTCATTATTTCCTAGCGTCCCAATTCCACAGAACTTGCAATACCTCAGGGAACGACTAGAGAAAAATAATTTCAATAACATCAAAATCGATGAATTCGTTTCTCTTACCAATTTGTGTATGAAACAAAATCGTTTCCAGGTAGAAGGTTGCTTTTATGAACAACAGGAAGAACCGGCCATGGGAAATCCCCTATCCCCCTACCTGGCAGACCTGTTCATGAGCAGATTCGAAATGAAAACTAAAGAAAAGTCAAAGTATTTTCCCAGGATTTGGCTAAGGTATGTGGATGATATTTTCGCGGTATTCGATAGCAAAAAATCGAATATCGAGGACTTTGTTTCCTTTTTAAATAATAGATGTCCATCAATAAAATTCACGTATGAAGTAGAAAATAAGGGACAACTACCATTTCTTGACGTTTTGGTAATGAGGAGTGAAGATGGAGGGTTAGAATACGATATATTTAGAAAAGAAACAAGCACGTACAGGTGCATCGTCTTTTGACTTTCCCTCTAACACATGATAGGTTCACAAAAGTAAAACGTACAATACAGGAAATAGCAGCCACTAACGATTTTCCGAGGGGTATTGTAGATGACATAATTAGGAAAAAGAAGTTTAGGTTAAGAATGAACGAAATCTCGACTTTCAGAAAGGACAAAAACCAAGATAATTACATCTCAGTTCCATACCACCAATATACGAAGAACTTTGGAAAGATTTTCAAGGAACTAGGTATGAAGGTGATTTTTAAAACAAGTCATACACTTCGTGATCATTATGAAGTCTGACAGTTCCTTCATTCAATGGGTATTCACTTTTATAAGAAAAAGCTCCACACTACCTAGGCAGTCAAGCGATGTAAACTTGAAAAAAATCGAAATATGAAATTGTTGACATCATAAAACACTTTTACGACATTGAAACTATAAAAATGTTTTGTTTCAAAAGAATCATTATTTGGATGCAATTCTCATTGTTTACATACAGTTTCAAAATATTCACCTCATGTTTGAAGTTAAATCTTTCTATAACATGTGTCATGCGCAACTCACTCCATCCTCGAATAAAATATTTTTATCTTGTTGTGTATTTATATACAAATACTGATTTATATTATTTGCATTTCATAATATCTTTGACGTACTGTGACGTCAATATGTATAATAACTGTGTATCAATCTGACAATTCCAGTGATAATTGAGGTAGTCTTACTATGGTTTTATTAAATATTCAATCGTTGCGAAATAAAACTGATGAATTATTTACTCATTTAGAAGACTCACATTTTCCAAATTTTGTACTACTGTATTTTCCAAATTTTGTACTGTTTTAACATTGGTTGAAACAAGTTTAGTTAGTTTTCGTTTACAATTTCGCTATATTATCTTAGTATTGCAGAACCATTTCATCTCATGATGAGTAATGAACTAAGGTTTGGCAATTGTGATAAATGCAACCATTTGTTTCTTGGAAAAGTTTTTGAGCTTCCTGTAGTTTATTCAAAAAATCTGAATACTTTCATTCCATGTTTATGTCGATCACTTTCTTCTGACATCAACACCTTTCTTTTTCAACTTGAATCATTGCTCAATGTACTTCTTTCTGAGTCAATTATTATTTTTACCGGGGACTTCAATATAAATTTTGACGGAGTTGAATCGAATTTAACGTAGTTTCTGATTAATCTACTGTCTTATTTGCCTTGAAAGTGTATATTGACATTCCAACTCGTATGATATAAGATAGTCATTCGATAATTGATTATGTATGTAGCAACTTCGACGATAATTTCCAGTCAATTGTTTTCTCTGGATTATCAGATAATGAAGCTATTAACTTCAGTGTTAACATCGATTCCACCAAACAAGCTGAAAAGTTCAAGTAAGGAAGACTTTACATTTCAGCAAACTATATTTAATAGGTTCTATCTAAACTGTTTGGGAATCTAAATTAATTGGGAACATAGTCAGGAAGTTATTGATCCTCTTCAACCTTTTTATTTTCAGCACTGGTCCAATTTTATTTACTCTTTTTCCCACCAAATGATAAAATTAAAATTGAAAAAGCATTGGCTTACCAAAGGCACAAAAATCTCAGCATTTCACAACTATGTTAAACAATACAAAAACATTCAAAAAAACTGATTTATCATGCAAAATATAACTTTTATCAAAAAAGGATTAACCAAGCAAGTAATAGAGCTAAAAAGACTTGGTCCATTATTAATTACTTTCGAGATAAGTGTCAAAATGAACAAGTAGAAATACCAATACCATTGGATGAATTTGATAAATATTACAGTTCAATTACATAATGTAATTTCTTACGACAAACTAATTTTGTACTCTATTTATGTTTGCGAGTTACAGGCGATAATCGGTTCGTTTAAAAATTTATAAACATTTGGAATCGACGAATTATCAATGAAAATTTTTGAAAATCTTACTGTTACTTGCCCTGAATGCATTGGCGAAGGCAATCAATCAAGCATTCCTAACGGGTTTTTTCCCTCGTTCTTAAAAACGTCTATGGCAATTAATTCCTATTTGCAAAGGTGGTGATCAAAAGAATCTTTCGAACTGTCGCCCAATTTTTTAGAATACTTTTAACCAAACATTCAAACTTCGGTAATATAACAAGCTCTAAACAATTTGGATTTCGGTCAAACAAAAATACTCATTATGCCATATTTTCATTTTTATATTATGTCTATAGTAACATTAATAGAAGGAAGATCACAGCAGTAGTCTTTTGCAATTTCTCTAAAGCATTGAAGGTATTAATCATGAATGGTTCGAGTCTCATCTATAGAAAAGAAGTCAAAGTGTTGAATATACATCAATATACAATAGGTATATAACGGAGTACCACAAGGCTCAGTATTCGGTCCTACCATATTTCTACTCTATATCAACGATTTGACTAACATCCATAAAGAGGGTAAATTTACTTCATTTGCCGACGACACTAGAATATTATGGCATAAAACCAACTCATAATTGATTGTTCTGATATTATTGATTGTATGTAATTTTTGATTGTATGTTTTGAAAGAATTTTTTTCCCTGTAATTTATTATTTTTATGAAAATAACTGTTTCGAAATGCCTTTTTCTTTCAGTTTGTGTCTGAACATTACTTCTTTGCATGATGTACACATCTACACATTGAGTTAATTTTTGAAATTGATTGCTTCCTTCCTTCTTTTGAAAGATTGCCACATTTTTTTTTTTGTATCAAGATGGAAAAGGCCAGAAATATACTCCACATATCGTCTATAGGCTTACTTTATCGTAGAGAAAAGTAGATTTGAAGAGTGGTGTCTGAAGAACCGTGATTTGAAAAAAAACTCAATTCAGATGGTTTTATCCTGAACTATGAAACATTCACTCAGCAATAAGAAAGTAGGTTTGAAATTTCATTTCGATATCATATATTAATTTTCCTTCGATCATTTCATGTAACACATGCAATAACCAATTTTGTGTTTCAGCAATACTCTTCTAGCTCATAATGATTCGGTCATTCCTAAACTATTTTTAATATCATCAGTCACTTTTCTTTTTTATTTTTATTTCACTTCACCTTTTCACAAACTTGAGAAACATATTCAATTTTTCTATATTTCATTAATTTCTTGTTTCAAAACTGTGAGTTGATTTTAAACAATGAAATAATTCAGTGTATATTTATTCTGTTTCGATTCAAAATTTCGATTTCAGTACCTGAAATATTGAAAAATTCTTTATAGAAACTTAATGATTATTGCTTTAACTTACTCGATATATGTAGCTCCCAATTCATTCTGTACTGTTATCACGAATGCATACAGTGCTGATATAATACATGCAACAATACACATTGAAGAGGTTCTCCAAGGCATCTTCAGAAAGTATATGAGTATTATTGGAGAGATGAAGAATAATTGAGAATCCACAGCTAGATACCAAGCTTGTTCTACGCACTGAAAAAAATAATCTCTAAATATATATATATATAACACAAAGATGACTGACTGACTGACATAGTGATCAATCAACGCACAGCCCAAACCACTGGACTATCAGATAACTGAAACAATTGTAAGTACATTGCAGAAGGATTTCAATGAAAAATTCAAAGCTTTCGAGCAGAAACAAAATGAACTAGAACTTGAACTCGAAAGACAAGAAAAAAGTGCTTCAAAAAGTAATGTCAACTAGCGAAAATGGGAGCAATACTCCAAATGCAATTCAATAATCATTCATGTTCTAAAAGATTCTAGATATGAAAATTGTCGTCAAATCGTCCTTGACACTTTTCGTGAAATGATGGAAATACCATTGAAAGATAGCAAGATGGAGAAATGTTTCAGATGGGGAAAGTACGATAGTAAAAAAAATGTTTGTTTGAAGGTACTGACAATGTTTCATGATGAATTTCACTAGTTCGGACTTCCATTGTCTACTATATAAAATGATTTAAAATCCCTGAAACAACTAAAAAAGAAGAATAAAAAGAAAATAAAAATAAAGAGTGGAGAGATTCCAAGTCACGTTAGTTCACGACTTTTCGATTGTTAGTATCTACAATCGTCTTCGGGTGATGACTGAACTGATTCCTCCAAGAGATGACTATTTATAGGTCGTTCGAGTACTTTCACTTATCCCCGTTTTCCATTTTCCGCTTCACTGGTTCCGTGAGAGATGACCGTTTGGCGGGAGTTGACCATTTTTCGCTTGATGATGTTATGTTGATGGGTCCAAACATGGTCTGCTATTCCTGATTTGCTGGTTTTCCCCCGCTGTGTGTGTTTTTTTGTGCTTGGCAATGCGAACATTCAACGGACTCTTAGTTTCACCAATATAGGATTTTCCGTACTCACAGGGTATCCGGTAAATACAATATTTGGAATCGCAGTCTGCGTTTGGTGGCCTGGTTTTCGTGAGGCTGCTACGGATAATGTTACCGGATCTGAAGCAGGTTCTGATGTTGTACTTAGAACTAATTCTTCTCATCCTCTCCGATAATCTTCTGATGTAGGGAAGTGCAAGCACTGGTTGTGACGGCTTCTCTTACATGCGAGGCTCCTGCTGTCTTTCAGCCAAAGTCTTTTCTACCATCGCTTTGGAGTAGAGAAGGAAGGTCTCGAGAAGGAACTAGACATCATCAAAAATTATTTTCAACGAAATGACCAAATTCAACGCAAGAACCACAGTGAACAATGACTGCATGAATATTATAATAGTGGTCTGATAGGTTGAAATGTAAATCTATTTCGAACCTGCCAAAGAGTTTCTTGCTTCCGTTAGAGGTTGAGTCTTGTTTGAAAATCATCAGTGTTATTATTAGATTGACTATTGCCTCAGCTATACTTGTTTCCTTTTAACAGACAATACAGTCGATCATCACCTGTTAAAAATTCCATTTTCAGATGATTTAACAAAAAGCTTTGCACGGACTGGTTATTAGTCATATTAGGAAAAGCTAGATGAAATTCCAGAAATTCGCATAAGTTTTCAGTACTTCTTGAACATTTACCACAAAGTAAACAAGTGAGGATTTTTCCAGGAAACACACACAAGACGAAATGGGCAGTACGGAATCATTCAGTCCAGAGCGGTCAGGAGTATTGATTATGCTATTGTTTTGCTCACGAAGAGTATTCAACAAGAACCCCAAGAATTCGGAACAATCCTCTTGTTGTCCGAACGAGTATCTAGTGGACTTCAAAGACTCCAGGAAATAGGTTGGAGGGAAAGATGATACCTTCTTACGAAACTGCAGCTGCATGAACAGGTGTTTGAGTTTGATGAATGAGTAGGAAACATTCCCGTTCTCGTGACTTGGAATCTCTCCACTTTGTATTTTTATTTTCTTTTTTCATTTCTTTATTATTTTATTTATTCAATTGTTCTATTTTTACTTGTATTTTATTTCACTATTTTTTCATTTCAGGTTTGTTTTGCTTAATATAATTGTTATTTTCAGCTATTCATTTTTAATTCTAAAACGAGAGATAGAATGATGTGGACCACCAATGGAAATATCTTCATAAAGTTTGGAGACACAGTCGCTAAAATTAGAAATGAAGAAGACATAACAAAAATTATATAGCATTTTATAGTTATCATGAGCAAATGTTTTCATATATAATTAAGGTATGTATATATTCCAATTTCTTTTTTATCAGTCAATACCAGCAAAAACTGATCGACTGTTTGTATACATATTTCTTTTTCTACTTTTTATTTTTGTCTTATCTATAAACACGTTCGTATTTTCATTATTTCTTACATTTACTGAATCAAATTACTTTTTTTATTCTACCCATTTTTGTTAACTTAATTTAAGATTGCTGTTGCCATCATTTACCGAATTTGAATTAATCTTATTGAAATATAATTTTGACATTTTATGTATTAGCGAAACCTAGCTCCACGGGGGAATAGATGATAACTTATTGATGGTAGATAGATATAAACTGTACAGAAAAGATCGTGGGTCGCGTACAGGTGGATTATGTATATATGCACAGAGTAAGTTATGTACCGTTGGAATGGTTTACAGACCACCATCACAGGATGTTTCTTATTTTCTAAATGAATATGAAAATAGGTCAAGTGTTATTTCTATATCTCTATCACATGATATTTGTACAGGTGACTTCAATATCAATTTGCTCAACTCGATAAATTCGTACGTTACCAACTTTTTATCTATCTTGGAAACACTCAATCTATCCCAAATAATTGACTTGCCGACGAGAATAACAAAATCCACTTCAACCTTGATTGACTTGATTATTGTACAAGATAAAGATAGAGTTACAGAAAAGGAGGTCGTGGATGTACACTTTTCCGATCACCAGTTAGTATTTTGTGAATATCGTCTGAAGAAGAAACACAAAGAATCTAGGATGGTTACGGATCGCGCATTGAACAAGATAAATTTGGTGAATTTTGATTTCGATCTCAATAGAATTTCATTATTTTCCATCTATGAGAAAGAAGATATTGACGATAAACTACATATACTTGTGATTAGTATGGAGGAGCTTTTTGATATACATGCCCCTGTTGAGACATGTAGAATTACAAAGATCAAGCGAAAAGTCTGGGACTTATTCTCGAAAGTAATTTAAGATTCGAAACACACGTGAAAACACTCATTCAAAAGGCTTATGGAACTCTTAAGATTATTTATGGAAATAGAAATTTTCTTACAAAATCAACAAAAATAATTTTATGTGATAGTTTAGTTTTATCTACCCTGAATTTTGCTGATTCAGTGTACGGTCCATGCTTAACGAAAGCATATCAGCAAAAAATCCAAAAGATTCAGAATTCATGTTTACGTCTCATTCATGGGGTTCGAAGGCGAGAAAGTATTTCCAATTAATTGGTTGAAACGGGTTGGTTAAAATGGCAATTCATAGGCGGTTGCATGCAGCGTGCTTATTTCACAGAATAATCATAACGAAGATTCCGATTTACTTATATGAAAAAATTTCATTTCGAACCGTTGTTCGATTTGAATCAATATCAATCAATCAATATTCGATTTGAAGGTATTTTAACACTACCAATTCACCATCATGAATCCTTTGAACGGTCCTTCAGTTACCAAATTGGCTACGTGTACAACGGTATTCCAAACGAAATAAAAAAAAATGAATATGATTAGTTTTAAGTACTTCTAAAAAAATGTTTTTTTGGAATCAATAAACCAAATGATACATTTCAGATCCCTAAGTTGTTGAGAGTCCCTATTATTGTTTTTTTTTTCAAATTCTGTATTATAGGCATATTACATAATATTAAGCTTGTGTGAGGTTAAGTGGTAGAACAAATCAGTAATTTTGAATTATTGATTTGAACTTCGCCTTTGACGTCAGCCCTAGGATCGTTCATGTTCACAATGTGAAGAAATCTATATGTATCCTAGATTGACAGAATGAAGACACATTATTATTATTATTATTTCACCGTAGTGTGCGCTAGTCAGGCCCTATCCCCCGAAGCCCCGATACATTCGGGAGGGCGCGCCAGCATTATCAACCAATGACCACTCCTCACACCGTCGGGAAAGTGATCATTGGGTCCGAGAATCATGTGCCCTGAGCAAGCACAGTGAGCCAAGAATGACAGCCTTCTGTATCTGTACGGCTAAGATTTTTGCCTTAGTGCGGCAAGCCGGTATGATTTTGAGATTCGAGAGTAGAGAGGACATCATTCCACCAAGGACTCCGATAATCAGAACAACCATCTTGAGAGAGTAATCTGGATAGAGTCTGCGGAGTTCGAAGAGAAAATCTCGATATTTTAACAGTTTTTCCTCTTCTTTTCTGAAGATATTTGTCTCGCCAGGAGCAGAAAACTTCACGACAAATATCGTTTTGGTCTTGTGGTCGAGAAGGACTACATCAGACTTATTAGCTTGTATGAACCTGAGGGTGGGGAACGAATAGTTCCAATAAATTCGGCACTTCTCGTTCCCCACAACGGATTCAATATCCCCGGAGCGTAGAGCAACACCGGTGTCTTGTCAATACCGTAAGAGTGCCGCAGATGGTAATATATCACTCTTAGGGCCGCGTTATGTCGATGGATATAGGCCGAGACCGCATATGGTGGACATGCTGATAGCATATTATTATTATTATTATTTTTTCCACCGTAGCGTGCGCTGGTCAGGCCCTATCCCCCGAAGCCCCGATACATTCGGGAGGGCGCGCCAGCATTATCAACCAGTGACCACTCCCCATACCGTGGGGTAAGTGATCGTTGGGTCCGAGAATCATGTGCCCTGAGCAAAGGCAGTGAGCCAAGAATGACAGCCTTCCGCCTCTGTGCGGCTAAGATTTCTGCCTTAGTGCGGCAAGCCGGTATGATTTTGACATTCGAGAGTAGAGAGGACATCATTCCACCAAGGACTCCAATAATCAGAACAACCATCTTGACAGAGTGATCTGGATGGAGTCTGCGGAGTTC